ATATATATATATATATAGTGTGATCGCTTGCGGTAGATAAATTGAGCTACATGGCACATTTTCCTACAACTGAGGTTTTGAGAAGCTGGCTTTCTTATAGTAGTTGCCTTAACCTGTTGCTTTAAGTGCATGTGTAATTTCTTTAAGACGCTACTTTTATTTTGACGTTTTCTGAAATTCATATGATCAGTAGTTTGACAGACAAGTTTAAATTCCTAAATTTCTGTGGTACGCACAAAATCGTGATGTACCAAGGATTATTAACTAGTAAACACCATTCCGTCTTCTCACTTTTACAATAATTTCGTGAAACAGGGTCACATTGGAAAGAGGTGAAGGAAAAACGAGTTTTTGCTCTAGAAAATTTAGATCTTATCCTGGTAGACTGTTTTAGTGGGGTTTGCTTCAGTGATTGATGTTTACTGTGTGCGAGGGCATGTTTGTTACGATGGTAAAAAGAGGAGAAATTTCTGAGAACGGAAGATTTGAGATTAATGTACGTTCTCAAGATGGGTAACACGCTGTTTATTCATAGCCCATTCCCGAACTTGATATATTCTTATATTTATTTCGGACGAGAAATGTTAAAGTTTATCGAAGCCGAAAGCTTATGGCCGAAATACACAAATTCAATCCACTGCACAATTTGTATGACTGAGGATATTTTCAATGATGTGGAAGTAGAAGTAGGAAAGTCATTCATTGTAGAAACTGGTCAAATGGGAGAGAACTACACCGATAGGAATAGCTAAGGTTATCTGAATGAACTCATCAATGTTACTGCAAGAGATGTAACTAAGTTTGCGAGTTATGACGTGACTTCACCTTGCATGTGGTTTTTTTTCAAACTGTTCATAATTTAAACCTATACACTTCGAGTAATAGTTGAGCATCTGTGAAACAAAGAATATCCTTAACGATTAGGTCGCCGTCGAATGGCATTTCTCGATCTGATGCTCGACATGAACGCAAAAGGTGAGCTGCCAATGGAGGGTGTACAAGAGGAAGTGGACACTTTCACGTTTGAGGTAAAAATGTGTTTCCTATATCTGATTTCTGTCTTTTGCAATTTTGGTTTATCTGTTGAAAGAGTGTTAGAAATCTTTTCGAAAGATTTCTCTTTTTTCGTGGTTACCAACATTTTCAACTAACATCCTTGACTTCAATTCTATCAAGGGCCACGACACCACGTCGGCATCGATCAATTGGTTCCTTCATTTGATGGGTGCGAATCCAGATATACAAGAGAAAGTCCAACGTGAAGTCGATGAGGTGGGCAACATTAAGCTTTGCGATTTTAACTTCTGAATCCTCGCTTGAATGTTCGCATGTAGTTTTAGAAATCGACTTTGATCTAACCCGGGCATAAGCACTCAGTATTTTCCTAGGCTACAAACTAAGCTTATTAATTTATTAACTTAATAATACGGGGAAACCGAGTGTGCCGTCCGGAATGACGAAGAATCACTCCAACTACCATTTGACTGGTAATGTGCTGAATGAGCAAAATCTTCTTCGTCTGAAGCTTTATGAGTCACGCTAGAGCTTTCCTAGCTACTTTCCCTATGCCATTTTTTCAGAATCCTTGTTAGTGGGATCAAGCAAGCTATGTATCCTTTTAGACATCTAAGGACATTTCCGGGTAAAGTTGTAGCGCGTAAACTGCTAGTGTTTTCTCTTCTGCATCTAAGCAAATTTCATATTGACAAACCGTTATTCGGATGTGCTCTAAGTATCTTAATTTAATGGAATTAGTAACGATTATGCATTTTATTTCTCATTTTGTTTTTTCACTAAATCACGGTATTATTACGTTTTACGGCATTATGTTCAAGAACATAGGGCAGATAGCACAGTGGTAGTGATGCCTGTCATCATGTATGGTGCTGTTCGACTCCGCTGCAGTCCAACCAAGCCTCTCATCTCTCCGGGGTCTGGAAATTGGTACCGGACCTGTCTGGGAATGAATCACTCTCTGCAATCCAAATGGACACGCTCCAACCCACCTATCTCAGGACTCCAGGGAGAATTCATCGATCAGCATTCTATGACATTCAAGATGAAATTAAAATCTTCGAGCAGTAACCGAAGATACGCGTAAAAGTTGGAAGACCTTCGTTGATGATGGATACAAGGAAACGAAATGGATGTGAAAAGTGCTAGGATCCGCACACTAGACGTGAAGACGGATCAAATAAAATAAAATAAAATAATAAATGTTCGAGAACTACCAAGGTTATTGGACAACAAAATACTTTCTTTTCTAGACACAGCAACTTCTTTTCCTTTGTGTTTTTTTTACTTGTTTCATCTGGCACCTATTCCATTCCAGACGGTCGAGTGTTGTCGAGTAAACTCCAATTTGAAATTTTGCCTTTATTAAATTAGCATTGAATACTTCCTCCTTTCGCTGGACTTCTGTAAGCGTTTTGAAGGAAATGGGCACAATTGAAAGACGTGCGATTGAATAATGAAACCAATAACACCTGCATATTCCTTCTTTGAAATGAAATTTCAGGTACTCGGGGAAACTGATCGTGCACCTACTTACGAAGATCTTGGCGCTTTAAAATACCTTGAAGCATGTATCAAGGAAACATTGCGATTATATCCCTCAGTACCCCTCATTGCTCGACAAGTCGTTGAAGATGTCAAGATCAGTGAGTGCCTTACGATCTCTTTAAGGATGATGTAGTTTCCAAGCGGTTATGATGCTCAGTTTTTTTTCCTCGGTAATGTCTTTATTTTCCCTCATTAGCTTCGTGCTAGCCTGTCAATGAAAGAATATATATATATATTGATTATAAAGCTCGCCGAGAGCTGTGCGTATGTTTTTAGAGAATCACCTTTTGCCAGCGGGAACCGGCATTGTTGTCATACCATCCATGGTTCATCGAGACCCGACCTACTGGGATGATCCGGAAGTTTTTCGTCCTGAACGATTCATCAGCGGAGAGCTCAAGCATCCCTATGCGTATATTCCATTCTCGGCGGGAAGCAGGAATTGCATTGGTGGGTATTCCTACGTGGCCTTTCTTTTTGTATATTGCAGACGAAAAAATAATCTGAACGGATTGTCTTTACACATTGAATTATATAAATCGGATATGCTCGAATTTCTTCAATCTGTCTTAGAAAACGCGGGCGGGTCGGGAAGGGGCTGTTGTTGCACTTGGCAGTGCCGTAAACAAGTTGCTGGGTCGACCCAACGTCTTTGATGACTTATCTCACTTTCCATCCCTCCAGGGTCATAAAATCTGCCCTAGACTGGTAAGAACATGAATCAGCGGCATTAATATTAACTATTGGTACGCCCCGTGGAAGCCAACGTATCGAGTAAAATATGCACATAGTCGTCTTCACTGTGATTCATGAACTCAAGCGCATGGCACAGCACAGCACTCATCAGCGCATTCATGAGTTGTAGATGAAATCCAAATGCTTTACAGCAGTATTTCATGCTTTTTAAAGGTCAACGATTTGCGCTGATGGAAGAGAAATGTATTCTGGCACTGATAATGCGAAATTTGCGAGTACGTTCCTTACTTCGCACGGACGAGATGCGTGTTGCCGCCGAGTTGATCATTCGGCCGTTGTTTGGAAATCGCTTGAAATTTGAAAGGCGATCATATGGCGACTATGCACACTGCACTGCATAAAACTACGGTAACTCGAAACGAAAATCGTTTCTAGTGATTGACGTTTTGTAGTGTCTACTTTCCATCGATCTATTTCACATTGCCTTTCTCTACGTTCTACCGTACCATTTTCTGTACTCATAGTCGTCGTTCGTTTTTCTCGTACTGGTCCGTTCTAGGTAATACTTTTCTTCACTCAAAGACTTTTGAGTTGTTTCATTCAATGATTTTTTTAAAATATAGCTTAAAACTTATCTGATTTCTATTTGTTGCTGGTAATACTTCATTGCATGAATAATTGTCGGCGCCTAGTGTCAGCGTAGTTGCTCGCTCGTCATTGCTGGGATGCCTTAAGCACTTAGGCGAAACAGCGTGGCATTCAAGCGGGTAGTGTCGGAATTCATTTATCCTCACCAGACGTTCATATTTTGATTGTAATTATAGGAAAAAAAGCATCTTGCCTTACTGTTCGAGCTTATAAAGAGTCTTTTGCAGACGACATATTGTTTGTACGAGGAAATTTTGAAACAGTTTCCCAATTCTGTATTAAATCCTGGTGTTTGAACTCACCATGACTAATAATATAACCTGTTTTAGAAAAACGATGCTCTCCACACTGAGATTTGTGCAAAAATGTGACCTTTTATTGAAATTGTTTGCTTCCAGGCTTTTTACTTGAGATTGTTTACTTACAAGCTTTTTCCCGACTTATTTCTACCATGTTGTTCTTATGCTCTTATAATAGTTGTTCTTATGTTTTAAAAATTACTCATCCCGCGTTCTACACATAATAGCTGTACGCTACATTATGTATTCTATTTTTCAGCTGAATACCACAAATTTTTTGCTGTATTAACACTTTTTGGCATCAGTCTTTCCCAAGTGGCTTTGACTGACACCTACGACTTCTTGAAAAGAGAATAAAATTAATATTACAATGTTTACTTGTTTATTTACAGCCTAATACCAACCACAACGATGCTGAAATGTTCACAAAACTGGAACTTCGGGCCAGGTCGAGCCACGATTTCCCCTTCCGGGGCTCGCGCATTTCACAGTGCACCATCGAGATGCATGCTTTGCGTCTCTCTCAGCTAGTTTTCTATCTACTAGTGCCAACAGCAATCAACTGTCAATGGAATTGATCTGGTGAGCCCACATCGGCATTGAACCCAGTTGAGCTGGGGCTGCAGTCGAAATGACAAAATTAATATTAGTTTATTCACGTCAATGCAATGCAGTTGTATACAAATACTCAGAATAACTTTCACAGCTTTAAGGATGAGATCAAGAAAAGACATGAAGATGATGCCACTCTATACGAAGAGCGACGTTATACGAATACGATTAGATGCTGCGTTTTGGCTGTACGGTACTGAACGCAGCATAGGTCTATGCATTTTTCGAGTATGAACTGCATGAATAAGATGTAGATAAACTAGGTGACCAAAATAGGGCTAGACCATCACCCCATCCGATTCAAATAGCTATCGACGAGAATGCGACGAATTTTCGCTCGTGTCGCCCGTTTTGCCTTGTAGAACCGAAGAACTAAATAAAGATTGTTACCCAAATCATATAATACATACATAAATACATATACATATATGAGTTACCTCTGCAATAAATTACGGGAAGCTGCCTGAATATCTATAGAAAAACGAGAAAAAAAACTCGTTGTACTTTCTGCAATGATGGGTTGGAAAGGAAACAAACGATTAATGATCAGTGCATATTTTTCGTTATCAAAATACGGCTTCTATGTTTAGCAATAGAACTAGTAATCTCGATTAGGTAGTGGATCCCAAAACTCATGATAAGTTATGGTAACCGTAGCCACACCGCCTGTTCTAACTGCTACCATGAAGCCCTTTATTTTTGCCGTTTTTGAACAGAAGGAACCTGATCTAGTTCGCCTTGCTAAACTATGGTATGGTAAGGTTCCAGATGAAAACCTCGAACTTTTCGCAAGACCATAGTGCTTGAGTAAAATTTGAAAAAAAAACCTGTATATGATAGTTTAAAAATCACAACAGTCTTCTAACCATGATAAGGTGGTACACCCTCGAAGGATGAATAAGGATAAAAAGGACAAAGGACAAAGCGTTTGGCGTTGATGAATCCCTGAGGGATGAGCCATATAGTCGACTTCATCTGGCATCGTCAGAAATTAATAGATGTGTATCTGCGTATTCTAGCGGTGGCTTTACCGATGCTAAGCTCGGGGCGTAAGATCGAACCAACCGTTGACCTGATATGTAAATGTGCTGCACCTCTAAGCATTTCGTTTTGCGCCTCATGTAATGAGTGTCAGAGTGTAGGTTTCAGGTAATACATACACATAGCACCATTTACTTCAAGAAGTAGTTTTAAGGTGATGTTCCAAAAAAGAATACTGCAGTGCTAATCAACAAAGTCGTTGTTAACTGTCCGCTCTCAAACTTTAAAACAAAGTTTTTAAGGTTTAAGGTTTTGTTTTCTGCCTTCTATAATTTTCATGGCAGGTTACTAAACGAAATACAACCACAACGTTGCTGAGATATTTGCAAAACTCTGGACCGCAGGTGTCTATGGTGGGGAACGAACGCGCTATTATCCTTTCCGGGGAGTAACGCGTTCACCACCACATCATGCGGTAAAACACTGTGATTTCAATTACAGCCTCAGCTTAACTGGGTTCATTGCCGATATGGGGTCCCTAGATCAATCCCGTTGATGGGTGATTGCTGATGGCGCTGATCGATAGAACTAGCTGAGAGACAGGCGAAACGAAAGACCCGCATGGTGTGGTGGTGAACGCGTTACTCCCCGGAAAGGACAATAGCGCGTTCGTTCTCCACCATAGACACCTGTGGTCCAGAGTTTTGCAAATATCTCAACAAAGTTCTTATTTGAAAGTGGTTCTGCGACAAGTCCTAACGAAAAACTGAGAAACGCCGGATAGAATGAACGCATCAGTTCATTCAATGTTGAAGATACAACCCGTGAAGTGGTTATATAAGGCGGAAAATTAGGCGGAGTGAGAAAAAAGTAGAAGTGAGGAAAATTTGGTGACATTTGTATTTCCGTCATGACAAACTGACGTACCTTCACTCTCTACTGGATGGTTCATTATCTGAGAGCATTTCAAGGTGGGGTATTCTCGCAACAACTGTCGGCATTCAATATCCAGATATTTATTCTCTGCAAAAAGTGGCCAGTAAGCTCCATAAGGTTTTCAAAATTTGAGAAGAAACATCTAAGATAAACTCACCATCAACAAACATGCTGCTAGTGATTGTTATGGATATATAGGATAAGAAAAATAGCTGTAAAATCATGTTTCTTCTCTGTTTGTTTACCTGCAAACATTGGGAGTAATTTCGGAATGCGTTTGGAAATACACGAAAGACAGAGCTCATCATGGTGAGAGTGAACTAGAAGCGTCTCCAGTTTTTGGAAAAGTTGAATGAGAAGAGTGATGAAGAGTGCGAGATCCAACTAGGAAAATTCAAAAGGGAGTGAGTCTTATGAACATCTCAAGTAGGTTGCAATAGATCAAGAAGAGTTCTAAAAAGTGATGAGCATGGGTAAGATAATGAAAAGTCATCCGGAATCTGTGATGGCAGCGGATGATCAATGACCTATGATGAATTATGGGCAAATTATCTGAGTTTACTGTAGAAACTGTGTGGAATTCCACTGTATGCTCTAAATTTGAGCCATCCACGTATGAGTCTGGCTTACTGTAAAGTAGCAAAAACGCGCTAAACGATATCCCTGTTTTCTAGGCTACTTCTTTAAGAAATACATGATTTGAATTAAACGAGAAGACGACTGGAAGAAAGAAACCGTTCTAATCTATGTGTGTTGTATCTGCATGGTTACAACAGCAAAAATTACTAGGAAGAGGTTACACTATAGTAGGGCGTTTATAAGAATGTGAACAATGACAGAGTTGAAAAAAAAAACTGAAAGAATTAAAAGCGAAATATCTTTGAGACGGAACGGCCTAAAGTTGGTGCGTGGTGGATTTAAGGCCATTGCTAATGTTTCATGAGTTCTAATACTTTAACACTCTAGGGCTAAAAATAGCCTAAGTCTTTAAAATTTTTATGAAAATTATTCACATTAGTAATGGACTGAGTGCGTAACAAATTAAATCATTCTTTAAATTGAGTAGGTGTTGGATATAAAAAATAACATCAAATCAACAATAAATAAGCCGAGCTAAACCGCTGGGAAAATGGTACTTCAATTTTTTCCTTCAATGACGCAAATTCACTCAGCTCTCACAATTTTCGAATAAAATCACGTTTTCAATAGAGGTATCCCATGGAGCCATTTCATTTACCGCCATTTCACTTGTTTGGGAATTGGCCAATTACACAATCGTCGATCTGTCGGATGACTAATCCCGAAAGCCACTAGTGTCCTGGAAGAATCCCAGGCCGCAAGGCTGCAAACCTCCTTGCGATCCACAGCGACCGTTCACAACAACTTGTGGTAGGATAGCCTCAAAGCGCTGCACGACTGTTTTGGGTTTCCAAAGAAAGTGGTGATCAATTTACATTCAACACTTCGTTTGTAATTAAACAAATCTTCTCATATTTGAAACCATAGATAAATTCAATCATCTTCATGAATGATGGCAGAAGGACGATAAAAAATACTGCACGGGAACATCGTAGAAAGAGTTACCTATTTAAATAAGCGTTAAAGCATTTAAAAGTTGTGTCTGAACAAGTACGAGGAGAAAACAAAGCAAAAGCAGAAAACAAGAAAAGCACTAACAGTATATAGCTGGAGTGTTTCTCCCATAACCGTTATAGTTAAGTCGTCAAAGCTCAGTCTACAATAGGTTTGTAAAAGAAACAAAGGTCGTGTAATGGGAACCCAATGGAAAAGTACTTGAAATGAACGAGTTGAAGTCATTGATAATAGCGGTGAATGTAAATCATATAGAGAAGGGTGTGGAGTTTTTAAACAACAGAAGAAGAGAAAATAATCATTGAATAGTGCACTATTCTTTCCACATTGCA